CCCCTGCTCCTCTGGCCTGTACCCCAGTTCTGTATGCACAAATAAATCTTCAAAAAAAAAAAAGTACCAGACACTCTGGAGGCAATTTCTCCACAGCCCATCCTCAACTTGTTCAAGGCCCCGCTGCCACCCGCTGTCTGAGCTCCTGGGGGCGAGTGGGCCACCCCAGGGCAGTCTGACTGCCCACGGCTGGCCCTGGTGTTCTGACCGCCCCTGGGTCTGTGCTGCTTCTGGAAACATCACATTTCTGAGCCATGAAGGACACATCCTCTTCTACCTGCTTCAGCCTTTCTCCCTTCTTCCCCAACTCCTCCAGATCCCAGATACCCAACTCTGGATCCACCTGGGTTGGCCCTCTGTCCTCTGCCTTCTGGTTGGATTCACAAGAGATCAGAGGAGAGAGGGCTGCTGGCCACAGGTGCTGCTCTCTGGGTCCCTGCCTGCCTGGGGCCTCTGGCTCCAGGAGGAACGGCTCCCACCTCTGACACCTGACCTGAAGCCCCTCACCCTGGGCTTGCTGCACTGTCCCTGAGGTATCCCCCAGCTGCCCACCCCTTTATAGACACTCCTTAATAAATTCTCCCTAAATCCTAAACCCATATCTGGATATACCCTGGTTTCTCGCCAGGACCCCACCCACCTGGAGCCCTATGCTCTGTCAAAAGGGCCAAGTCACTGGTTTTTAAACTTCCCCTGGGTGGGGGGGGGGGAGCTGGGACTCCCCCCCACCTCCGCAGGCCCCCACCTCCGCCAGGAGCCAGAGCGAGCCTGGAAGCAATGACTTCTGACCAGGCAGGGGCGAGTTGCACAGCCTCAGGAAGCTGGCTGCCATTTTCATTAACTGAATACATATCTCTGGAGCTGAAAAAAAAAATCTGCGTGTGTGCGGGGGCATCTAGGACCCATGGTGATGATGTTGGACTCTGAAAGGCCACAGCAGCCACGTCTTGGCCAAAAGGCCACAGTCTAAGGCCAGACTCAGTCAGAGTGGCTTGGGGGTTCTCACCCCAGGGGGTGGCATTTTAATAGCTAAAGCGCAGAGCCATTCTTCTGTTTAACAAGGTAGTTCATAAACATCCAGTTTCTTCCACAGGAGAGTAAAGCTGTTTACATGTTAAGTGGAAGAATGATAATGGGGAACAGTAGCACTTTTCATTTTCTGGAACAGGTCCTTAGAGGGTAAAAGGGTTCTTCTCCACCACCAGCTCGAGCTCTTTGGATTTCCCAGAGCAGCAACATTACCAATAAAATCTTAAAAGAGAGGGAAGAAATGTGGCCCAAGGGAGCTCTGCCCTCTCCAACTGCTGTCCACTTGGAGCAGCAAGGCTGCCCTACCCTGCCTCAGGGGCCCGCCAGGTTTTCAGAGACGTTTTACCACACACAGGCTCCATCCCAAATGGTCAGAACAGAGAGCAACCCTCCGGCTCCCCGCCTTCAGCCCCAGGCCAGCTCCAGCCCCTGGCCAGCCCCAGCCCTCACGGGAACCAGCGAAATCCCCAACGCGCCTGGCCTTGTACCTGTGCTGTGCAGGGCCTGGAAGCCCTTCCTCTGCACGGACGCATCCGAATAAAACTTGAGGAACAGGCTGCTGCCCGAAGCCACCACGGGGTCTGGCCTCTTGCTGCCGCAGAAGCGGCCGAGGACAGGGGCCTGGCTGTCGGGGCCGTCGAACAGCTCCAGGTGGTCGTAGGCACATTCCTGGTGCTGCTCCACCTCAAACTCGCTGAAAGTCTGCGGGGAGAGCAGAGAGTGAGGCCCGACTGCTGGGCTGGGCCCCCTCCAGGGCTGGGAGAGGAGGGGCGCTGTGGGAGGTGCCTCTGCCCCCAATTCTTTGCTCTTACTTTCTTCTTTCATCATGTAAACTTAACACGCTCACAGAAGGAAAACCATGTTTGCAGCGGTCATCGCCTGTGGATGTTCTGACCGCCGGAGCCGGGGGCCAGGCTCGCAGTCCAAGCTGCCCTTCCAGCCTCCATCCTGATCCTCCAGCAGCGGCCGAGTGCTCCGGCGGGGCAGGAGTAGCTTCGCACACTCTACAAAGGCCCCCTTATTTAGTCCCACAACCCTGTGCTGGATCTACCATCCTGGTCGCCCCATTAACGATGGGGAGACTTCACAGTGACAGCAACATGGGTCCCCAAAGACCTCTGGGGAGCTCCAATTTCTTAAAACAGCAGTTTCTTAAACAGTATTCAATTCACATGAAGATAGAGCATAATCAGTACCACCCAAAAAGAGATCAAGAAACGTACGGAAGGGACCGAAGATGAATCTGGGGTGTGGGTTAGCTCTGGCCGCTGCAACTCCTAAGGCCTTCAGCTCACATACTGCTTCCAGTGCTGTGGCTGTGCGTTCCCAGCCACAGGAGGCGCCGTCCCCACGATTCATGTTGCCATTGCAGCCATTTTCCAGCAGATGACGGTCTTTGCGAAGGGGTGCCTCAGTCGGAGCACCCTCATTCCCTTCACCAGATTCTGGGTTGTTTTGTCGGACCAGGAGTCACAGCCCAGAGCATTGCCCATCTGTGCGGCCATGCACATTAGGTGCCTGCTGTGGTCACCTGCAGTCAGGGATCCTGCCTTCGCTACCTTTCCACGCCCAGGCCTGCTGCAGGGACACCAGCCACAGGAGCTCTTCACCAGGTGCCCTGCCCCCTCGCTCCACAGTGCACGCCCTTGCAAGGCCTTGGACAGACGCCCTCATCGCTCACACCTTTACCACCTTCTCCTCCGCTCTCCTCCATCCTCCTGATTCTTGCCCGTAATTCACAGACACCTCCTGTGCCTTCAGAAGAGCCTACTCATCTCTAAAGTCACAGGACCCATTTTAAAACTGCCTGGAACGCAGCTTCTCCAGCTGGGCAGGGGGGTGGGGGCGCATGCCCAGGACCTGGGAGTCGGCGGGGCCTGAGAAACAGGACTTGGACAGAAGACTCCATCCTCCTTTGGAATAACTGAGGGTGGTATGGGGGCGGCCGGCCCGTGCAGGTCAGGACTTTAAAGACAGGTGTGGAAGATGCATTTTGTTTAACTCAAGAAAGAATTAACAGAAACATCTCAATCAACTGTGTATTGAGAAAAACACCAGATATAGAAGAATATGAATTAGATGCGTCCATTTGAGAAGCTTCGGTTGGAAGGACGTGACTTACTTCCCTTGCATGTGTAGTACATGATGGTCTTGCGTAGGGAACTTCTGGCAATGTTAGAGACAGCTCCGTAACACTAGCTCCATAACACTGAGCTAAGGGCACTTCACCAAGTGGCCAGGGGAAGCTGACAGGGGAAGGCAAGTGGCTTTGAAAAAGGGAAGGAAGAAGGAGATCCCTCTGGCTTCTGAGCCTGACTCTCATCCGGATACTTCTGGGCAGTACGAAGGAGCCATGGAGAGACCTGTGGCTACTTTTGTTGATTTGTCCGTTGATTTTGCTCCTTTATTTAGCCCCAACTTTCCGGGACCTGCTTCAGAACCCTTTCCGAGGGTTGCCCGCCAGGGGGCGTCTTATACCCGTCTGTGGTAAGCTCTCTGGCGGTAGCCGGGTTTCAAGCCAGCGCTGTTGGGGGGGCATGGGTGATTTGGGGTGTTTTATTAGAAAACGACTGTCCTTAACATTCTTTCACACTGAGAGTCTGATTTGCTTTGTGCTCATGGATGGCCAGATCCCTTATAGCGTGCAGGTTTGGGGCTTTGGGGTGCCCGTTTGGGGCCTTGGGGTGCCCCTCCGTGGCACACTAACAGAAAGACTCGCAAGAAAATGTTCAGCTCTAGAGTGGGCATCTGAAAGCTTTGGTTTCCTCTTTCGCTCTGTACTAATTATATTTTTTGCCTTGAGGATGTATTGTTTTGAGAAAAATTTCAACTGGACACCACTGAATCTCAAACAGCACCGCAGCTGAGACCCACACCTAGAACAGGCACTAGCTACGCCATGCTCAGGTGCCACCCTGGGCTGAGTGTCTCTTCCCGTAGCCCTCATGGTGGCCCAGGAGGGGTCATGAGCGCCCTTATCTTCCAGCTGAGGAAAGGGGGTGCTGTCCGCGGCTAGGGAAGGGGCTCACCAGTTTCACCCTGTGGCCGGCAGTTGAAGAGATGTTCCAGGTGCACTCCCTCCGGCTGGGGTACTTGTCAGGCCAGTTGGGGCTCTCCAGGGTCCCCTCTGAGCTGCTGATCTTGTGCACACAGCCAGCTAGAGGGCGGAGCAAACATGCAGAGAGGTCATCTACCTGTGGGCAGCTCCAGAGGCTTCCAGAAGGGTCTCCTCCCCTCCCTCTCATTCGTCACACCCAGTCATTAGCAAACGTGGGCAGAGGTCACCCTGAAGCAAGTGTGGCCAGGCTCAGAGGTTTGCTGGTGTGCTCGACGCCCCTGCCTTCTTATCCTTCACAGCACGCTCTTCACCATGTTCACCAGAAGCTAGTGGTGAAGACCAGGGTCGTCAGTCCCAATCCTGCCCCAAACCCTGCATATAAGCTGTGGGACTCTAGGCCTTTTATAAGGGTCCCAGCCCTTGGGGACAAAAGTGGTCACGTGAAGTCATGCTTGTAAAAGGCTTCCCAGTGCTAACAAAGCGCCTCTTCATCACCATGCCTTCTGGGTACCTCCCCCCATCCTGAGGACCTCCCCCCCACCCCACCTCACCCTCCTAGGGCTGCACAAATTGCCCTGGTTCCTACACCACTGGCACAAAGCGGTCGGTCCTCAGGCTTCCTTCAGGAGCAACGATTTAGCGAGCACGGTGCCTCCCTGTGTTGGGCACTGCATTAAGCATTTACGCTTTGTACTTTCCACCTGGGAATGTGAGTTTAGAGCAGGAAAGTGACCTGTTGCTGAGGGAGCCAGGACTGGAACGCAGCTCTGCCTTTGCTATGTGACTAGGAAATACAGGGGGCTGAGGAGGTGGGCTTTGCACCCCCACCAAGTCCCTAACTCAGAGAGGGGGCCCCCAGATCATCCCTCACCCTTGACAGCCTCTGCTCTGTGGCTGAGACCCAGGCCTGGAGGCCTGTGTGTTGGTGGGCTCTCAGCTCCTTCACAGGGCAGCGACGATCAGCAGGGGGCTTTTTCCAGAATGAATGAACATTCAAAGCCGTCTGGCCCTGCAGAACTCCCAATAGTGAATGGAGCAGAGACCAAAGTTCCCCAATTCTATTTTGCAGTTGACCTTCATAGTATGCCACAGATGACACAGAGTTTAGTGAGTGCCAGAGTTGCCAAAAAAAAAAATCTTTCCAGGTATTTTCTCATTTAATCTCTACACAAATTTTAATAAGGGTGGATATTTGACCCCTTTTTAAGGGAAAAAGAAACAGGCTCAGAAAGGTTAAGTAACTTAGCCAAGGTCACACAGCTTGTAAGTAGTACAGCCAGGTTTTGAATCGGTAGTTTGATTCCAGAGCCAGAGGCTCCCCCCACTTCACAATGCAAACTCAAGAGGCTCCTGGGCCCCCATAAGCCTCCTGAAGGAATGAGCTATGCTAAGTCACTCTGCAGCAGACGGACAGATGCCAAGAAGGGGCTCGAATATGCATGGACACACTCCGGGGCCGGTAGGCCTCCACCCAGCCTCACCCTCTTTACAGTCCTGGCCATTCTCGTGGAGCCGGAAGCCGTTCCTGCACCTGCACAGGTAGCTCCCAAAGGTGTTGACACACTCGTGCTGGCACCCGCCGTTGTCCTTCGCACACTCGTCCTTGTCTGGGGAGACCAACGGACTCTCCTAAGAGGAGTAGCCAACTTGTGAATGTCCCTCACCAGAGCCCTGCTCAGAAGTTGCCTCCACCAGGAAGCCTCCCTGATTGCCCAGGCTTAGACTATCCTCTCACGGGGTGCAGGAGGGCATCTGGTTTGCTGGGTATTACTTAGCTCTGGGCGTGTTGACTTCTCCAGGCTTCTAAGGCAGTTTCATGAATCTATCTGTTCTTCATTCCTGCTACCGGTTAGGTTAATAATAACAGTAATAGTAATAATAATAAAAATAACTACCAAGTATCATTTATTTACCCTGGGGAGGGGCAGAGCTTCCACACTTTCTAAACATTAAACTAAGCTAGTTCTCACACAGCCTTAGCCCGAACTGCCATTCTACCAATACAGAAACCAGGGGTGGCGCTCCAGAGACTGGGAGTGCGTTGAGTTGCGGGGCCCCCCCCCGTGGGGGACCCGGCTCCAGACCCACACACCTGAGAAGAAGTGGGCCCGGAAGCCGCGTTTGGAGACTGTGTTGTCAGACTTGAACTCCACACGCATGTTGCTGCCCTGTGAGGTGATGACCTCGGGCGTCTCCGAGCCGCAGAACCTGCCGTGCAGCCTGGCGTCGGGCGAGAGGCCGCTGCGCACCTCCACGAAGTCATATTTACAGACCTGCAAGGGAGCGCGTGGGGAGCCAGCAAGCCCCCAGCACCCCATGCCGGCCCCAATGCCCCATGCCGGCCCCAACACCCCATGCCAGCCCCAACGCCCCACGCCGGCCCCCAACACCCCATGCCAGCCCCCAACACCCCATGCCGGCCCCCAACGCCCCATGCCGGCCCCCAACGCCCCATGCCGGCCCCCAACGCCCCATGCGGCCCCCAACGCCCCATGCCGGCCCCCAACACCCCATGCTGGCCCCCAACCGTGGCGAGCCCTCTTTCAGACAGCTGCAGCCTGCCAGGTGGCC